CAAAAATTTCACCGTAGATGACTGGAAGAATGTTCTCTTCTCCGATGAAACGAAAGTTGAGCTATATTCAAAGGATAAGGTGAGTCGCTTTTATCGAACAGCACTGTATATACTTTTAGAATTTTATTCAAATCTCATAGAGGTTCCTCTGTACGTTGCCTATATCAGTGACACTTCTCGGAAATGCAATCAAATGTCATAGTCCTCCACCAGAACCCTCACTATATCTCATAGACACTTCCCAGAATTATTTCCAAATTTCGAGGACATTTCCTAAAATTCTTCCCAAATCTCATGGACACTTCACAGAATTGCCAGAAAATCACAGCGACGTTCCGCAGAATCCTTACCAAATCTGATAGTCACGTCTCAGAATACCTTCGAAATCACGTAGACACTTCCCAAAATTATCTCCAAATTTCATAGACATTTTTCAGAATTGCCACCACATATGAGCGTCGTTCCCTCACCAAAGCCAATAGACCTTTCTCAGTATTTTCATAGACTATAAAAGGCCGTGGTGTAAATGTTCTTTTTTTTATTTTTATTTATTTATTTATTTATTTATTTTTTTGCAGATACTTTCAAACAGAATCAATGGTGCGTCGGATTTCCAGTGTTCTGATCTGGACTTCGAAATACGGTATATTACATTCATCTGACAACATTTTCTTCTATGTTTCCTTGTGTTAGATTAATCATATTATCATATTATCTCTACCTAAAGATTAGATAATCGATTCAAGATGATCACGTGTAATCGACAAGTATGTTAAAACATTTTCTTTTCCTTAATATTAACGACCTATTAATTGAGTAGAACTCGTTGTTTTCCTGACTTGTAAAATCTCCTTAGGACTCATGGCTATATTTATTCATAAAAGCCAACATTAATATATAAAAAACGTAGCTTTAATGTATTATCTATTCATGTCTCACTTGATATGAGTGAATTCTAACAAAAGAAATACCCATGGTGGCACGCGTTTAATATGGGATATTGTGTGTGGAATTTAAATTTAGTTTACTGTCTTTTAAATTTCATTACTTGCATATATTTTTAAGAACGAGGGAGAGAGAGAGAGAGAGAGAGATCTTGAAATAAAGGTAAAGGTTATAATAGAACAGGGGAAAACTATCAACTAGCCTTCCTATTCTCTCTCTCTTTTCTTTTCTCCCCCCACACACGCACAGTTACATTAAGTTTACCTTTGTAATTTACCCCTAAAATTAAACGTGGAAAAGATCGAAAGTACTCGGGTTAGAAAATACGGCGCCTTCTTTGATGTATTTCGTCTTAACATCAAGAAACTGATAAGACAACTGGAAAGGATCAGTATAAATATAAGTAGACACAATATGTCTATAGTATTCAATGAAACACACACACATATATATATATATATATATATATATACACACACACACATATATATATATATATACACACACATATATATATATATATACACACACACACACACACACATATATATATATATATATATATATATATATATACTTTTATAGAGAAGATGTATTTGCCAACGTCCACCCTTTGTTGGCCGAAAGGGTTCCTTCAAGGTAAAATGACATTTTCTTCTTTTCTCTGATCAAATATATATATATATATATATATATATATATATATATATATATAGATAGATAGATAGATAGATAGATGTAAAGCTTTTCTATGAAATGAGCAATCTGAGTCACTGGCATGTTTATTCAAAATGAATACATAAAAAATTCACCTTTCTCTCTGCCGAGAGCTGATAGATTAGGGGAAAACTCTCCAACTAATGCCAAATCAGTCGGGTTTCGATCCTGGCTTGAGGCAATCGGATGTCTAGCCACACTGATGAGCTTTGATACAGCGAAACAGTCTGTCTGTGGATGACAATAATATATATATATATATATATATATATATATATATATATATATAGATAGAGAGAGAGAGAGAAAGAGAGAGGGAGAGAGAAAAGGGGGAGAGAGAGAGGGATAAGAAAACTAATTACTTAAGAAAGATTTGTGGGCCGTCGGTTGATTTCCGGGGCGTTGACAACAATCAGTATATACAATATATATCAGTGTATACATGAACGCTCGGATACACATTTTAGGCTGTTTTATTGCTAGTGACATTATTATATTTTTATATACATGTCAGTTATGATACATAAATCAAATTCCAAGCGAGTTTGGACGACGTACTTCTAAACAACTGAATTTTATCGAAGTCGGTTTCATTGTTCCGAACAAACGACTTTATTGTCCTCTGCCATTAAAACTACAGCGCATAAATGTAAGAGAACATTGTTCGAAAACAATTATTCGAAAAAAAACGTTTATTCGAATTGTAAAATGTCTGAATGAAAATTAATCAAAAGAACAATTATACTAAATGATAATTATTCGAAATACAAAATTCTTGAATTACGATAAAAATGCAAAAATTAAAAGTGGTAATACACAAATGATTATTATTCCAAATGCAAATATCGTTTATAAAACAATTTAGTAAGAAAAATCCTTATAACCTTAAGTTATATGATACTACACGCGAATAGTGAACTACTGAAGAGTACTCGTTAAAGGATGCCACTAATTTGTAATGGATCTGTCTATATTTCTGACATGAGGTATTATGTACATTATTTACACTATTAGGACTATGTCGCCATATTTATTACAACGCTCCGGCCTCCTTCAGGTGGTTGGAATGTCGAACTGAACACTTTATTTCGCTCACTGGTGTAGACTGTTCTAGTTCCACGTTCCATGTTTAATGGATGTCAGTTATCAGTTATCTCCTGTTAATTCCCCTCTCCAAGTTCGCCACTGCCTTAACCGGGTATTGAACTCATACTCTTTGGGTCCTGTCACTGGATCTAACCAACGCCTTTATCCACTGTGCCATGTGTCCTCAAGGAACGGCCGAAACGTTGTAATAAATATGGCGACAAAGATGAGGACAATAGTCCGAATAATGTAAACAGTGTACATAATACCTCATCTCAGAAATATAGTCAGATACTGAAAGGCCGAAACGTTGTAATAAATATGGCGACAAAGATGAGGATAATAGTCCGAATAATGTAAATAGTGTACATAATACCTCATCTCAGAAATATAGACAGATACTGAAGGGCCGAAACGTTGTAATAAATATGGCGACAAAGATGAGGACAATAGTCCGAATAATGTAAATAATGTACATAATACCTCATCTCAGAAATATAGACAGATACTAAAGGACCGAAACGTTGTAATAAATATGGCGACAAAGATGAGGACAATAGTCCGAATAATGTAAATAGTGTACATAATACCTCATCTTAGAAATATAGACAGATACTGAAGGGCTGAAACGTTGTAATAAATATGGCGACAAAGATGAGAACAATAGTCCGAATAATGTAAATAGTGTACATTATACCTCATCTCAGAAATATAGACAGATACTGAAGGACCGAAACGTTGTAATAAATATGGCGACAAAGATGAGAACAATAGTCCGAATAATCTAAATAGTGCACACACATTAGTTGGGAAGATGTATCTGTTCTTTTTACTCAAATTTCTGTATGGGGATTTTCTAAGCGTAGCTTTGACGTGGCAAGGCGAAAAAATGGGGCACCCAGTGAGGATCAAACTTGCTAATCAGTTGTAATTGTTCTAGCGAGACAAGATATTACCAACTATAAACACACATCAAAAACATTATATTAGATCGCAAACCTTTACTGAATCCATTCTTAAAGAATCTAATGTATGTTTATCTAAAACAAACGGTTTGTACGTAAAAACATTCCCAAATCAACATGCGAAAAGACAACAAACATAATATCTATAAGACAAACACGTAAGCTTCTACTTAATTTCCAGGGCTAAGATATTACAGGGTAGTTTTTTTGATTTAATCCAATTGCTCCTATCAAATCGTGAAATGAAGGTCATTTTAAACGCTTCCAGATCCTTTCACACGAACGCAGGTGTCCCCCAAGGTTTCATCCTGGGTCCTATACTGTTTATGATCTTCATCAATGATCCCCCCTGGTGTCATCAGTTCCCAAGTAGGCATTTATGCAGGTGATACTACAGTTTAATCTTGTCTCAATAGCAAACCCGTCAGAGCTGACAAAGTTAACCTGGCTGCTTCTCTTGAAAAGGATCTCCAATCAGTGGTTAACTGGGGCAGAAAATGGCTTGTAAATTTTAATTCCTCCAAAATGTAACAGCTCTCTGTTAACCACCATAAAGAAAATGATGCTAAACTCATGGAGAGCAACACATTGCACCTTCTTAGCCTCACGTTTTCTACTGACTTAAAGTGGAACGACTATATCGGATCAATTGCTGCATCTACTGCGAGGAAAGTTGGGTCAAGGGTTTTTCTCGTCAGAGTTCATCTTGCACATTTAAAAATCTATCATTCGTCAGTGCATTGAATACTGTTGCCATATCTGGTCTGGTACTCCTGCTACTCATCTCGAAGGTCTTGAAAAATTCAAAGAAAGATCTGCAATGTACCGATCCTGATTTGGCATCTCGAACCCAGTTTTTATCTCACCAACGTGACGTGGTTGGCTCCCCTCTTTCTTTTCTGCAGATATTTTCATGGCAATTGCTCCGATGATTTTTTTTTCCTCGATTTCTTTACAACGTTAGTTTAAGTGTGCTGATAGATTGGCATTTAGGTGACACCATTCTACTGTCGAAACCACTTCTACTCCAGCAGTTTCTTTTCTCGCACTTCTCGACAGTGGAGCGCCCTAGCCTACTTGATAACTATAATCTTCAAAAATTTAAATGAAACGTCAATCGTCATTTTTGTCTTCTTAAATCTTTTATCCTTGCTTCACCCCCACTAGACCCATTCTTTTCTCTCACTTTCACTCTCTGTAAAGCCATGCGGATTAGTGGCATTCCCGCCTTGCTTTGTGCGAAACGATTTTTAAAAAAATTCTTTACTCCTACCCTTTATCAGCGGTATGTTTATGTATATAACCCTGTCTTCTGATAGAAAAATTCAGTCTACTTCCGGACGATTTCAAATTGGTGAAAGCGTAGGAGGAACAGAAAAGTTATTTTCAACTATATATATATATATATATATATATATATATATATATATATAGTCATCCACATGCAAAACTGTTTCGCTGTATCACAGCTCATATATATATATATATGTGTGTGTGTGTGTGTGTGCGTGTATGTGTGTGTGTGTTGTGTGCGCGCGCGCGTGTGTTTTGAACAATAAAAATATTAAAAAAATTTTTTTTTTAGACACACTGGGTTGTATATTAATATTTTCTGTTTTATAATTTCAATTAGATTCCTTCACTAGTTTCACCCAACATGCCCATCATTAGGAGAAAAAGAATTCGTAGAAAACAATCCTGCTTGTTAGTAGCAGCGAACTATTGGAATTTCGAATATATATATATATATATATATATATATATATATATATATATATATATATATAAAACACGTATGTGTTTGTATATATATTTATATATCTATATATATATCTATCTCTCTCTCTCTCTCTATATATATATATATATATATATATATATATATATATACTTACTCCACCCATAAATACACAGTCACACACACACACACACACACACACATATATATATGAATTGGGATCAAATATGGATTAAACCCCAACAGAATACGAAGATAAGGAACAAATAGAGATCGGTCATAAATTTAACATGTCTCGTTTTTATTTAAGCTTCATCAGAAATCAAATATGGAGGCGAAAAGAGAATACTGATATTTTATATTTTTGTATTGTTTGCTTTTCATTAGTTAATCAGACTTCACGTGTATTTGTCTCGTGTGTAGAATTTTTATGTGTCTATGTATCATAATTCTCGTTGGTTTATGGGGTATTTGATAATATGTGCGCGTGCGTACGTGCGTGTCCATGTGCGTACGCCTTTGTGCAACTAATGGGCATTTTTATATATGCTTGGTAGTGTCCGTATGTTCACTGTGAGATGTTTTGCGTGGTAATGAAAGAATTTAGGTTATACCGGTTGTGTTTGTAGGTAGACTGATCTTAGTTGGATGAATTTTATAAAAGTTGGTGACATAATAAGGTGCGTTTGGCGCGTGTTTATTGATGGGAAATTATTTTCTACGTAATAAAGTATGTCATTTTTTTTTTATTGTGGTGGCATTTATGCCTGCAATGCCAGAAAAAATCTATCGGTGAAACATCTAGAAATTTAAAAGCTCGCATCTACGAAAATAAGAGAGACTTACGTTGCGACAACACTTTGAACCGGCTCGTGACACATAAAAATAAAAAAGGCCATAACTTCGATTTAATATATTCCACGTTAATAAAAAGTGAAAGGAATGGGAAAAATTCAATGAACCGCGTTTCTATCTGAAATTCTTTGCTCAAATGCAACAAAAACAACCCCTTAAAAATCTTAAAAATAATCATAGGCTATGAAAAATGTATAGTTTATAACAATGTGGAGCTAGATATTTCCTGGGTAAAAAAAATAAGCCACTGTTAACCACTCCAAAAGCCGGTCTGAATCCGAACAATTTGATGATGCATATCTAATGAGATTGAAAGAGCTTTGAGTATTAGGAGCTTCTTTTGCGACATCAGATTTTGTAGTCAGTCAAAAATGTACAGGTTTTAACCAAATCGAAAAGATGCTGTTTTCCATTAGAACAACGCCAAGCCACACGTCTCTTTGCAGACCCAATATAAATAGGTAATGGTTGGATGACATGTTCAACTACACTGGCTCTCCTAATTTGAAATTGCGTCTTCTGATTGTAAAATTTTCCCGAGTATTGCTAGTTATTATTATTATTATTATTCGAGAGGGTGCTGATAATTCCCGTATTTGACGAAGACCAATGAGCAATGAAATATTCATGAAATTTGATATATTAAAAATACTGCCTTTTTCGGTTGCTTTCTAGCAATTTGAGGGGTGATTCATTCAACAACGATGCGCAGCTTAAAACGTCGCTTGATGAATCTTTCGAGTGATTTCTATCTATCTATCTATCTATCTATCTATCTATCTATCCTGTTCAGATCTATCTATCTATCTATCTATCCTGTTCAGATCTATCTATCTATCTATCTATCATATTATGATCATATTTATATCAATAATTTTCTCTCTCTCTCTCTCTCTCTCTCTCTCTCTCTCTGTCACAGTCTATCCATATATATCCGAGTTTGTTTTTCTCTTTTCTTCTCCCTCTCTCTCTATCTTTCTTTCTTTCTTTCTTTCTATCTATCGTATGGTCTTATCTATACACGTATCTGTTGATCTCAATCTTTCTTCCTCTCTCTGTCACAGTCTGTCCATGTCTATCCCAATTCTCTCTCTCTCTCTCTCTCTCTCTCTCTCTCTCTCTCTCTCTCTCATGACATCTACATTTATTTAGCCAATTCACGAGGGCGGATCAATATGTATGTAGCCCGTATTAGCTGAATTTTGATCTGAAATTATTTATAATTTCTTGTGTAAAATATATACTTTTTTCATCTCTAGGCTACGGACATAGTGACTTAAAGTTATATATATATATATATATATATATATATATATATATGTGTGTGTGTGTGTGTGTGCGTGTGTGTGTGTGTATGTGTGTGTGTGAAATTGTGTGTTTCATGCGAGGCAACCAGTATTTACTAATACGCAGTCTCTGTTTTGAACGTTTTTTTACTGAATATTCGTCTGTCAAAAATACAAATACATAATTATTTTTTAAAAAACGTTACATAATTTTCAAGATTTAGTGGTTCGGTTTTGCAATGTTTTTTTTGTTTTTTCCTTTTATTGTTAGCGAAAAATATACACGGTTTGAAATTTATGAAGTGTGCGTAGGAGACCTTCCTAAATCCAGGGTTATCAAAGGGCAGACATTTGTCCCAAACGTCACTCAGCTGACTTCTTCAGGGTGGTCGAGGGTGTGATGGGGATTACAATGCCATAACGCCTGTCGCTGTTATTTCATTATTTTTTCAAATTTATTTATTTCAAGAGGGGACAGCTGCTTCTTTAGATCCTTATTCTAGATCTGTGGGAAAACTGTCATTCTACACACTTACACCTACACACATACACGCACACAAACACATAAACACACACATGTATATATATGTGTATATATATATATATATATATATATGTGTGAGTGTGTGTGTGTGTGTGTGTGTGTGTGTGTGTGTGTGTGTGTTTGTTTGTTTAGCATATCCTCATTGAAGCATATTTGGTTGTATAATCTGGACATATGTCTATTTACATATTAGTCCTCTCCAATTCTCGGTTGAGTTTCTTAATGTTGATGTTAAATTCATTAAGGAAGGCGCCGAAGTTTTTTTTAATTCCTATTGTTTTCCTAAGTACTTTCAATCGCATCTGATATATATATATATATATATATATATATATATGTGTGTGTGTGTGTGTGTGTGTGTGTGTGTGTGTGTGTGTGTGTGTGTGTGTGTGTGTGTGTGTGTGAAAATAGGAAAAATAGGAAAGAACACCTTTGGTAAATAATCAGAGTTCTTTAGTATTTTTGTTTTTATTTTGAAAAAAACAGTGCTCCATACAGAAGTAGAGCTTAGATAATAATTATTTTTTAAATAATATGATTCCTTCAGAAGGAATCATATCTAAAAAAGAAAATAATTATAATATATATATATATATATATATATATATATATGTGTGTGTGTGTGTGTGTGTGTGTGTGTGTGTGTTTATTGTTTGGAGTTGAATTAAACCAGTAAACAGTACTATTTTAAAAATGCGCAATACACGAATATATAAAATAAAAATAAAAACTTAGTATGCAGAGCTATGAAATTTACAGAAAAAAAGTAGATGATCAGCCGATCACGCTACCTTGGTTTCAACGTTTGGTATTTTCAATAATTTCCTAACGCTTTATTTTTAAAAAATATATATAAAGAAATGCAACGTGAAGCCTAATAGAAGGGAAGGACAAAAATCTGGGTATTGAAATTGTTTGGTTTGGTTTTTGTTTTACAGCATATCAACCTCAATTGGTTATTTAATGCCGATATAATTTTTATAACTGGTAATATGTTTTTCTTCCACAAATCTATTTCTGGGAATATTTTTCCTTGAAGAAATCCATAACTGCTCATATTTTATTCAAAGAATGTATAAGTGTTTGTATGACTGGTATTTTTCTTTTAAATAATGCTGATAATAATTTATCCTTCAAAAATTATTGCTGGTAATATTTTTTTATTACAAAGTATTTCTGGTATTAAAACCTATTTTAAGTTAGGGTGTTAACTATTTGCCCATAGCTGGGAGCCTAAAAGGTGCTACCACCCCAGGTCAGGGAGGACCTGGGAACACCAGCAATTAAGAGGTGGTTCCACGCTCCTCAAAACCTCCTGATCAGAGGCCTTGCTGTTGGACGTAGTTTATCGTAGGGATGTATGTTGGATGTAGTTTATCATCATACCCAGGACGAGTATTGAAATTGTATCGGGGTGGTGGGGGGGTATATGAAATGTACATGTTTTCATTCTGGTTCAAAGGAAGTCAAATGGATCTTTTTTTGTGTGTATGCATCGTTTTTCATTATTTCTCATCTCTTATTCAGAAGGTTTTTTTGGTTTGAAAATTTAATTATTGTCATCTTTTCTTCCTGGCAAAGGTATCACTACGGTTGTTTTAAAGTTTATTAATTTTTAAATAATAAAGCGTTAGAAAATCATTTAACCCGAATCGCCTGAAGATACCTTGAAACCAAGGTAGCGTTATCGGCTGATCTCCTAACATATTAAAATTTGTGTATATATATATATATATATATATATATATATATATATATATAGATAGATAGATAGATAGATATATAGATATACATATATAATATTGGGGCAGCAGATCATTATTCAAACATATATTGTTAAATATAGTGATTTTCCAAGCGTAGCTTAAATGGGGCACAAGGCTGAAAGTATGGGGCACCCAGTGAGGTTCGAACTCATCACTCACTCGTAATTGTTCTTGCCAGACAAGCTTGCTAACCATTACATCGCCCCATATATTATTAAATATAACAGACAACGAATGTCTATTATGTTTGATCATGAGCCGTAAGGTCGTAAATTCGTCATGTACGACGTCATAGAACCACATTACTAATTTACGACCTGCGTCTGGTATTCCGCGAGCGTTATCGTCGAATAACAAACTTCTATGTAAGCATAACTGGATATCATCTTTAATAGTAAACATCTCTGTTGTTATGTCCATAAAACTACTCTGATGATGGCCCATGTGAGTCGAAAGCTAAGATCGAGGAACAGCATAATAAAAAAATATTCAAATTTTGGACTTTTTTTTTTTCTTTATTTTCTCTCGAATTCTCTCATGATCGAATATAATAGATATTCGTTGTTTGTTATATTTAACAATAATATTATATTTTGCATATATATAATAGCTGACCACTCGTATTCGAGGGTACCCCTCTACTAGGGCGGCTAGCCAATCCCTATTGCAGAAGCTCGCTCAGGCACAATTGTGTTTAGACAACACCCACAGAGCCCACCTGTGATTTATACTTCAACTATGCTAAGCAGAACTTATTTATTGTTTATGGAAGAGAGCGTGTTATCTAACGTGATCAACAATGAGAACAATTATTTTACCCATGCTCAAGAACTCGGCCACGATGACTTGTGACTTTGTGCTAGAACAACTATCAACGGACCTCAACAGTTCCGTCTACCCAATGTCACTCACATGGGGCAACCCGTGGTATGATGTTCAGGCACTTTCCAAAGATGACGCACGCTGGGATCGACCTTGATCCATTCCGATAACCTCAGGAAGTCGCCTTCCTGACAAATCGACCATGGTGCGATTCGAACCCGCCCCTCATGGTCATAAAGTGAATCTTCTAACCACTTGAATGTTTTTGCATAACTTGACAGCACCAGAGATGTATGTATTATTAAATATTTTATAAGCATTTCAAAATACCATTCTTTCTGATGAAACATATTTTGTTAATGTAGTTTTTTTTTTCTTTTTGTCTTGTCTCATAATATCTAAAAATACAGTGAATGCTGTATAGGATTTTATTATCTTCTAATATTTTGTCAAATTTTGATCGATTGTAATATGACGATCGATATGCACATGAATTGCGTTATGCTTTCATAAGTGACAAGTTAACCTACGAGCGAGTGTGGTAATTTTGGGTCAATGTCAGAATTTATCAGTATTTCTCCTTATTTGCATTGGAGATAAAATCTTCCAAAGGCCAAAAGAAATCCCAAGCATTGTAGGAATGACCTTTTGCAACAAATGAAGATGTTAATGAGAACAAGATAATGTACTCGAACACATAATGAGAAAAGAAAACTTGGAGAATTTAACACTCACAGGGCATATTAAAGGGAACAAAAATTAACAAATGCCATGACATAAAATGTTGTAAAGTAATAAATATTAACAAAAGTGACCAAAAAGAAGCTATGGAGAGCCATGGTCGTCGATAACACGGCACAGAGATATGCTTCAGTCCAGCCCAGTTTGGCTTGGGCTGTTCCACTATAGGGTGGTATAAGCTGTCTTCTTTTATACGCCGTGTCCCTTCAGGACGTGGGCGATCATGGCTCTCCATAGTTTCCTACCTTTTGTAGCACAATAAATATGTTTTTGTTATCTCTCCTAAATCTTGTTCCGCCATCCATTTACTCATGCGTTGTTTCGTCTGTCCCTCTTGCCTTCAATATGTCTTGTGAGTGACAAATTTTCCAAGCCCTTTTTCCTCGTTATGTGCCCTAGATATTTCAACTGTGTCTTCCTGATGTTAAGTATAAGTGTCCTTTTTGTTTCCATTTTAAAACTTCGTCCATCTTCCGGAGTGGTAGCACCTGTAAGGGTCTCAGCTCTCGGCAAATGAAAGTATAAAAGTACATTTTTAAGGCAAAATTCCAGCAATACATTTTTATATATAAAATTACTAACAATACATATAAGTCTATAATAATTCATATAATAATACATTATCATCTGAATCCTACACTTACATACATCTATATAAATAAATGTGAATGTCAGTGTGTCACACCTTTTCAACTTTACTCGTAGAGGCCATGGCCCAATATATCACACCATTTTGGAATCAGGCTGACCCCATGCGCAAATTAAAAACATTTCGGGTGGGTTCCGGGTGCGCAATCCTGAAATTCTGGATTCCCAAGTTTTTATTACTGCGATTGTTTTCGGCGATTTTTTTTTACCTGATATTTTGTGACGAATTTTTTGTATGGTAACAATTTTTATATCTTAGATATAAATTTGAGAATAATTGAAATTAATTGCGAAATCCAGCGAATATCACCCATGAATTAAAAAATAATTGTTTGTACGGAAAGTAAGGACCTACGTACATCAAATTGTCTTTAAATTAAGTGGCGACAGAAGAATTATCTTGAACTTTTAAAACGTAAGCTTAAATACTAATGCAATACTTAAATGCAGCGATCAATTTTGAGTTCTTCTGCAGTTTATTGTTGCCTATCGCATACGACTGCAGTATTCCTCGCAAAAGAACAATCTCCGCCAACAGAGGGTCAGATTGCAATCAAAAGAACCAAGGCTGCGGCGAAGAGAAGAAAGTTCTGTGCATATAAGATAAAACGGCAGCTAGGAGAGCTTCCAATGTTGAGAATATGCAAAGACTTAGGGATTTTCAAACTCTTGAACAAGACGAAGGCCCAAACAATAGCCCTCTGCAGACTTGGAGTCCGTTAATTTCTTGGAACTTCGAAGGAACGTGTCGTCTCTCCTTGAACTGGACACGCCATGAATTATACTAAATTTTGTTTCGCAAGTCAAATGTTTCGAGACGAATGATGAACCAGAGATAATTAAACAACACACATGTATAAGTCTATATTTCTGAGATGAGGTATTATGTCCGTTATTTACATTATTCGGGCTATTCTTCTCATCTTTGTCGCCATAAGCATAGAAATGAATACAATATGGAAACCAGTACTAAGGAGTGCCAGAGAAAAGCGATAATAACAACAAAAATTGCAATATGAGCTCTGGTAAAAACATGCAATGATAGCAAAAATTGAAATATGAGCACTGTTAAAAATGGTTGCTGAAGACATTAGGTTTATAATACTCAGAAATTCATACACATGGCACAGTGGATAAAGCCGTTAGTTAGATCCATTGACAGGACCCAAAGTGTGTGAGTTCAATACCCGTCTAAGGCAGTGGAAAACTTTCAGAGAGAAATTAGCAGGAGATGACTGACATCCATTAAACATGGCATGTGGAACTAGAACAGTCTACCCCAGTGAGTGAAATAAAGGGTTCAGTTCGACATTCCAACCACCTGAAGAAGGCCGGAGCGTACAATGGCTGGAACGTTGTAATAAATATAGCGACAAAGGTGAGAACAATAGTCCGAATAATGTAAATAATGTACACAAGTATAAATACTGGGTTAATAGATAAAATCCTTCATTTCTCCAATTATATTTGGATTAACAAGCAAAATTGTGATATTTGTAGCTTTGTCCTTTCTTTATAACTTTTGTTTAATGTTTTTCTTTATTTGAATTTTATCTCTTTTCAGACATATGAGGACAGGGTGTCAAGTGTTAAATGTCAAAATGATCTTTTTCGTCACTTGTTTCTTCAAAACAATAACGCTCGAGCCCCAGTCGCTAATTTGACCAAAAATGCCATCCAAGAGAATTGGTTGGGAAGTTCTCCACCGTATTCTCCTGATTTTGCGCCTTCAATTGTGTTCTTGGCTTCGTTCTCTAACAGTTTTCGAAGCGTTTCGTTCAACTACGTCGTGGAGTTGAAAACGTGGCCCGGTGTATTCTTCGAGTCAAGATCGAATTTAGAAGCTAGAGAAACGTTTGCAACAAGTCGAGAACAATGAAGAACATATATAAATGACTGATTTATTAAATTTGTTAATGAATAAATGGAAAAAATCGATTAATTGATCTGACAACACAATAAAAGAATATACTCATAAATATAGACAGATAAGAGAAAAATCTGATTTTCTGTTTTACCCCAAAAGAATTGTGAATTAGATTCTGATATTCTATTAAGAAAATGTTATGCATTCTTGGTTCGAATGGTTAGTGCGGTGTCGTTTATGCAATTTAGGTCGGTTTGCTGACCTATAACCCCCGCAAAAGATGCTTTGTAATATTTTTTTCACGAATGTCAGAGAAAAAAAAATGAAGTTGTATAAACATATTTGGTTAGTAATTGAACTGGGTCATCCTTGTGAAGTAAGGATCATGATATTCAAATCAAACATGACAAGAGTGGTTTTGTAGAGACATACCTCCATGCGCCGATGACGCCATCGTGTCCTCTGATTCGACATTCAACTCATTTCAGACACACACACACACACTTAAATATCTGAGAGAGAGAGAAAGAGAAGAATTAGTGACAGAAAACGCAAAAGCACACAGACACACACACACACAAGGAGACAGTTTCTTTCTTTTTGAAGATCTCTCTGTCTGGCTCTTTCTGAATTTCTGCCATTTTCTCTTCCTCATCTCACGATACACACACACACACACAACATATATATATATATATATATATATATATATATATTTTATTTTACATGTGTATATATATATTTTTAAATGTATATATATATATATATATATATGCATTATAAATATATATATATATATATATATTTTATATATATATATATATTATGTATTCATATATATATATTTATATATATATATATTATATTTTATAACATACATATATATATATATATATATATATATATATATATATATATATATCGCAAAAATTCTCATATTTCATGATTGTAGAATTTGTTTCTTCATTGAATCACTTTTTTGCTTAATCTTGCAGCTCTTTCTGTCTGTCTGTCTGTCTGTCTGTCTTTTTCTTATCTGTTGAAAAATTTCACTTTTTACTTCTCTCCACTTTTCTAGATCTTTTCTTTCACTCACTTTCTCCTTTTTTTTCCTTTAGTGACTTTTTTGTCCTTTCTTTAAGTCTTTTTTTTTTTTTGCTTCTTCACCCTAACCCTTCCCAAGTTCCTTTTATTGAAACAAAGGTGATCCCTTTGTAAAATAAAGTCCTTCACCCTGTAGCTTTTCATTCTTTCCTTTCTATTTCTTTACCTTTTTTTTAAAATCTTTTACTTTCTTTCTACTTCTTCTTGTTCTTGTTCTTGTAACGGCATTCATGTTGGGTGGATTGAGCCAAAGTATAATAATATTGAAATTTCATGATAGCATTTATAATTCATAATAATAATACCAACCCGCAAAATAGAATAATATGAGATTTGATTATAGTGAAGGTTTAATCCTGCAGGACCATCCGCACTTTTTGAAGGGCCGATTACAATCATTGGTACATACTACGTGCCACAAGGTCCCCCAAAAAAAAAATCTGCAGGTTTTGAATTCAGTGTTTTCCTTCTCCTAGACCAGTTGCCATCCAAGGCTATAAAAATAATGTTTGTCCCGCTATTTACCCAAAAGCTGGAGGGAGAAGAAGAGGATTCATACCTTTTGCAAAAAATGATTAGCAAAAAATTGATTAGACTGTAATAATAAATAAAATTTAGGGATTCCTCAATCCAAGCCATATCCATTAAAGACCATTGTCCTTTCGTTCTATTGAATTTTGTGTTCAGGCCTCTCTTTTCATTCAACTTTTTATCCATTTTTAAACTCTCTTTCTCTCACTGTCACTCTTTCCTCTCTTTCTTGTTCACTTCTCTCTTTTCTTAATCCCTATTTCTCCTTCCCTCACTCTTTTCTCATTCTTTTCTTTCTATATCTTTGTCCTTTTTTTAAATTGTTCTTTCTCTCTACTTCCTCGCCCTCACTCTTCCCTCTAAAACTTTCGCCTTTTCAATTAAAAGAATATTAAATATCTTTTCTACTTCAAAAACTCTTCCCATTGTGTTCTTTTTACTTCTTTCTCTCTTTCAAGTTTTTCGTTCTTTCTCTCTTGCTTCTTTATAATCACTCTTCCTCCTCCTCTTAATTCTCTCCCCAAAAAATTTCAGTTTTTCTCACAGAAATCTTCAAACAAAAAAACCTCTTTTTTCTTTCTAACCTTCATTTAAAAAAAATTTTCAAAGGATTCAAAATGCTAATTCCCCTGGTAAACATATATTTATTTAAAATACATATCTCCTGTTTTTAAATATAATAATGGATGCATTGGAATTGAAATCAAAAGCCGCAACAACAAAAATGGACAGCATATATGTAACTCAGAGCGAATGTTTAATAAATAATCAAGATAATAAAATTTGGTGTTTTAAGACACTAAACAAGAGAGTGACTATAACGCTACAATTGGGATGTTTCTGTCTATATTTCTGAGATGAGGTATTGTAATTATTTACATTCTTCGAACTGCTGCCCTCATCTCTTTTTCCATATTCACAACGTTTCGGCCGTTGTACGCTCAGGCCTTCTTCAGGCGACTGAAATTTCGAACTTACCCTTTATTTCGTCCATCAAAAAAATATATTGTTTTAGTTTGTTCGTGCCATGCCTCTTTCGGGTGTCTCACTATATCTCCCTTTAAATCATCTCTCCACTGAGGACCCATGTCACATTGGATAAAAGGAACAAACAACATATTTTTTCAGTGACAACCCAAAGAGTTGCGAATTCAATACCTTTTTACTGCAGTAAATTTTTTAACAATAGAGTTGAGTTAGAAAAGATAACTGAGACATCCGGGAAAGACATGACAATAATGAACTAGAAATCCGAAAAAAAACAGAACATTTTAAGGATTCAATTCAAATTCATATAAGAAATCATACAAAATTAGGAAATTTGTATAAAATAGCAGCAAATAACTTTAACAATCTAATTAATAAGGATTTACATAAGAACTATAAAAAAGGCAAATAATAATTACCTCAACATGGTGGAAACATTAACATTAGCAGTAAAAAAAATCGCAGATAAACTGAAGATTAGTGATAGAGTAGGTAAACTTAAGGAAAAATGAGTGCTATATTACCATAAAGGACCACAAACCAGATTTCGAAGCTAATCCAACTACAAGGATAATAAACCCAACAAGACCTGAGATCGGCAAAATAAGTAAAAAAAAAAATTCCTTGAAAGGGTTAATCAACAAATTAAAGAAAACATAGGATTGAAACTTTGGATTAATACCAAAGAAGTAACAAACTGGTTTACTGAAATCAAAGATAAAACAAACTGTACACTAATGCAGTTTGATATTGAAAATTACTATCAATCAATATCAAAAGAACTGTTCATGAATGCGTTGGACTTTGCTACCCAGTACACGGACGTAACAGAAGAAGAAAAGAGCATTATTATAAATGCGAAAAAATCCGTACTAATACATAAAGGTGAGCAATAGATAAAAAATTTCTTATGACCACTTTGACATCACAATGGGATCACTAGACTCAGCTGAGTCTTCTGACCTTATAGGTCTTTTTATATTATACAATCTCACAGCATATCATGAAATTAATATAACTGACATTGGATTATACAGAGATGATGGACTTATGGTTATAAAGAACTCTACAAACTTTAAAATCGATAAAATTAGAAAGATATTATATAGAGAATTTAAATGCCTGAACTTAAAAATTACTGTAAACACTAAATTGAAAAAGGTGAACTTCCTTGATATAACATTAGATTTAATGAAAAATGTATACATACCTTATAAAAAATCCAATACTAATCCTTTGTATATACATACTAAATCTAATCATCCTCCATCTATAATTAAGTATATGCCTTTATCTATCGAAAAGAGAATAAGTAAAATTCAGCAAATGCGAAGATTTTCTATGAACATATTAATTTCTATAATAAAGCTCTAAAAGATAGTGGCTACAAAAAAAAAAAACTAAATTAAAAAAAAATGAAAAATGGAAAGCATATAAAAAAAAACAGAAGTAGAAAAATAATTTGGTATACACCCCCATACAACCAAATGGTAAAGAACAAATTAGGACAAAAATTCCTTGCATTAATCGTTAAACATTTTCCTAAAGATAGTAAACTCAGTACTATTTTCAATAAAAATACCCTAAAATTAAGTTACAGTTGTACTGAAAACTTAGAAAAAATTATTAAGAAACATAATGCTAATATCTTGAATAAACACTTAGACCAAGACCAAAGAAATTTAGACAGTATAATAATAAAAAGAGATGAAGATAAACAAAAATTATGTAACTGCAGAAATCCTCATAACTGTCCTCTTAATAATAAATGTCACACTGAATCATTAGTATACCAATGCAATATCTCATCTATTGAGTATCCAGACAACGTAAAAGTCTACATTGGATGCACAAGACATGAGTTCAAAAATGGTTCAACCAACATCAAAGTTCTTTTAGGATAAATAAATACCGAAATCAGACGTCCCTATCGAAATATTTCTGGCACTTAAAAGAAACCAATAAAACACCTACTGTGAAATGTAAATTAATAAGAAAAGATAGAATATGTAGGTCATTAAATGACCCATGTCCTTTCTGCATACATGAGAAACTATATATTACTAGGTTTATAAAAAGTAAAAAAATACTTAATCAAAAAAATGAAATAGCTATTCTCTGCCGACACCGTCAAAAATTTTCTTTAAGTAATGTTTAAAAAAACAAAAAAACTAATAAATGAAATATACATATTCATATTTGATATTTGAATAATTTTTAAATAATCTAAGTAATTCTATTACATTCATTTGTTTTTTAAGAAATGTATAGTCTATTAGTAATTAAAATTAAGAATAATATTTTAAAATTGTAGTTCAATACGACATATTCATATAAAAACAACCCTTTTTAAAAAAAAAAAAATTATGTATACAATTACAAATTTAACGGCGAAAACAAAAAAATGCCAAAAAAATTTTTGTCGTTGAAAAAAACCAGACGACATGCATTGAACGGATGTCATCATTCGTTTGAAAAAGGCACCCCTACCCTACCTTAACTTAACCTCTTTTCGAAAGTAACTCATATTTTGATACAATAGTTGTCAGTGAAAATGAATACCCTACCACCCCTTGTTAAAATGATTGGATTTCCCCATATCCTTAGAAACTAATATTATGAATGTATGTGCTTATAAAACTCAGTAAATTTCAAAATAAGTTATTCCAAAATTCGCTTGAAAATGAAACAGAACTAGGGACTTTAATTTAATTCTATAATTGAATTTGAAGTTTTTAGTTTCTGTTTTTGAAACATGGTAATTCCTGTGTAGTGATGGACCATATTTTTAAATTAGTAAATTTATAATATATATATATATATATATATATATATATATATATATATATATATATATGTAACCTAAAGGAAGGTTACAAATAATCTTGGTGGTTGGTAATGAACGATAAACATGAGACAAGAACAACACATATAATTCGCCACTTTTCTTGTGTTCAAAGCCGAATTTAATGTTATCCGAGCCCGTATATAGCCAAAAAAAAAATAAAATAAAAAATATAAAACGGGTCAAAATAAGATAATTTCTCGAAACGAGATTCTGCCCTTCGACATAGGCTCGTTTTGACCTCTCTTACATCTGTCAAGAGTTTCACAAATACAGCTGGAGACGTATCTCTGACTGCAGACCAACATACAGTATTTATACTGTATTTATGTGAATGGGCACATAACCGTCATCGTCCTACAATAATATATATGTGTGTGTGTATGTGTACGTGTCTATGTCTGTGTAAAATATATAGACAATGCAACTATAATAGCCTCATCCACATGTAAAAAAGGGCTAAAATGATCGAAGCATTAGTAATAAAAAGAAGAAAACAAACACTTAATGACATCAAATATGAACACAGCCACAATGTACTGACCGTGTTTGGTAAAACAAATTCCAACACCATAAAAAAATATATATAAAAAATATATGTATTCAATTCAAAATTTTTTTAAATCCTTGATAATGGCATAGCCGAAAGCCCTCGTATATTTAAAACATTTGGACAGTTTTTACGAACTCTATGTTTAGAAAAGAAATCATTTATACGAACACAAGAAAAATTGAATAAAAAGCTAAATTGCAGTTCGAAATACCGTGTCAGTCACCTTTAATAAAACTTGATGGAATATTTTGTTAAAAAATTGTAAATTTTTTTTGGGAAGCGCGTATAATGTAACCATTATCTACGCAGTATGTGAGTCCGTCGCTAGATCTTGTTTCGTTAACAACGTGCCGTCGAAAAGGCCCGAATTCATTCGGTTTTAATATTTTATATTACTAGGATTCACTTGGATTATATACCAGCGGATTTGTTACCTTTACTATATATATATATATCGTTAAAACCTTTATTCTGAGGCGACAAATTTGTTGTATACATTCGTGTTCTTGTGCGAAAAATTTTCTTTTCCAGTTTTATTGTATTTGTATTTTTCTCTCTACATTGATTCCTATTGGAAAAATTGTTTCGGTTTACGAAACTATTTCGGGTTATTTTGACAGCTTTAACGAACGAATTAGATTCGTGAATCGAGGTTCCACTATATATATATATATATATATATATATATATATACATCTATATGCAAACAAATGTGAGAAAAAACATATGGAGTAATATTCCACTGTTCCTATCATTTAATTTTATTTACATAGTTCGATAATGAAAGTAGATATCAATATATTGATTATTATTATTATTATATAATATATATATATATATATATATATATATATATATATATATATATATTTATATTTATGTGTGTTTTGTGTATTCTTCATAGTATAATTGTTGAATGAACAAACATTTGCATTTATACAAATAATGCTACAATTACATTTACGGACCAATAAGAATTGATGTGAGTCACGTGGCTTAAAATCACATCTACAGAGAAATTATCTTCAATGAGGCATTTCATGTTTCATAGGTAAAAAAAAAAATTCGGGTAAATATATGCATAGCTATCGCGGGTCACATATTCAAACATCACACGTCAGATAGAAGATCTTATTTCCTACTGAGCTAACCTTTTCTCACTAACGATGGCGTCCGTTTTTACGTGACTTTTTGAAATACTAATACCAAAAATGGAGCCCAAAATATTGGGCGCTAGAATTGTCAAAAGAAAAAAGAAAATTAATTCAAATATTTATTAAACCATCGCAGTTTTTAATTCTTTGAAAATTAAAAAATTTTGCATGTTATACTAAATGTTGTTATTTAACACCACAATGATAATTAATTTTAATTCAAAATATAAGTTGTATGTTATTCTAAATCATGTTATTTAACACAACCAAGAGAAATAAGGATTGACGTGAACGCAGCCATAGCTCTACAGATCAAGAACGAATGAATGTGAACTGTTTCAACCAGAAATATTTACAGCGGTAATTACCATACTAAGGCAGTTGCTAGTTAACCACAATCCATGGCGCAATCATACTAACCTATTTACTAGTATCGATACATCACAGAATTTATGGTTAGCTTTTTGTAACTGTTGTATTAGACGATCCCCTATTTTGGCAGGTAATTTTTAAGATTTAACTGGCCGCCTTATACATCAATATATTCGATATATATATATATATATATATATATATATATATATATATATATATATATATATATATATGCGTATTCATGTGTATATGTATATGTGTGTGTGTGTAGTAAAAAAAAATAAATAAAAACCTAAATGAAGAACTCTCTTGCATTTAAACCCAACTTGCCTAAACGACAAATTGTTCCCTATATATATATATATATATATATGTGTGTGTGTGTGTGTGTGTGTGTGTAGGTGTGTATTCATGGTTAAAATCAATAAATAAAAAATCTTATTCTGAAGAACTCTCTCTTGCCTTTAACCAAACTTGCCGAAACGATAAACAAATTGCTCCCCATATATATATATATATATATATATATATATATATTATGTGTGTGTGTGTGTGTGTTGAATATTAAAACCAATAAATAAAAAACTTTAGTGAAGAACTCTCTTTGCTTTTTATTTGTACTTACCTAAACGACAATTATTCCTGCATATATATATATATATATATATATATATATATATATATATATATATATTATATATTTAAATATCTCAGGTGGATTCGAATCTGCATTTTTCATCTTTTTAGAAACCGTCTTTAAATTTTTGAATTTTAACATTTTTGTGTGTGTGCGTGTGTGCGTGTGTGTGTGATAATAAATAAATCAATAATAAAACCAGTGTGATATATAGAAAGGCAAAAAACTTACGATCAGGTAGTGACGGTGTATAAACTGTAGCCTCAGAATGAAGCAAATACAGAAATATATCTATCTGGAAAATGTTTTAATCGATGATGTGGAAATGTGACAGCGAAATCCGAAGCTGCATTAGAATAGCAAAAGATACCTTTTAAAACTATACAAAGTAAATGAAAACAGGAAAATTACGTTAAAAACAAAGACAAGGATGTTCAACTGCCATATAATATCAGTCCTCCTATATAATAGTGAATACTGTAAGATTATCGCACAGATTAAAATAAGACATGAGGCAACAGGGGTTTCGGTTATAATCCCGAATCTTAAAATCCCGATTATCGAAATCGTGAAATTTAAAATCCCGAAATTTGAAATCCCGAATGTATCAAAATCTCATATGATGAAAATGCCGAAATTTAAAATCCTGAAAGATCAGAATCCCGAAAAATAGCTTTTTGGAAAAAAAATTGAAAAAAAAAAAAATGTTGGAAAAAAAATTGTATTCCTAAACATTTACAAAATGGCGTTTGAATATTGTTTATACATCTGGAATAGCCCAAATTACTTAAGAAATATAAAACCAGAATATATGAATAATTTATAATGAATGATTATGAGCAAAGAATCCTAAAATAGTCCAAAAGATCTAGTTAGGTTTTCACAATCGTTAACTATATTTTAAAACCTTTCATCACGATAAAAAGAGATCTTTTTCCCCTTTTGGACATGACACTAAACCCTAGAATTTTAATCGTTCACATTATTTACTAAGTAGTCCACAAAATATTTTTGAAACCCCGACAATAATTTTAAACACTGACATCATCATTTCAAGAAAAGCCTTCCCATTGCTTATTTTATTCTGGTTTTATATTTTACAAATGTATAAACACTATTTAAAAGCTATTTATAAATATTTAGAAAGGAAGGTATTTCCAATTTCTTTTTTTTTTTCAATTTCTCCCAAAGACTATTTTTCAGGATTCTGATTTTCATTTTTTCAATATTTCAAAAATCTTGATCTTTAATGAATTTTTTAAATTCGGAATTTTTAATTTCCGGATAAATTTTATTAGGATGTCGACATTCAAGATTTTAAGATTCTAATTGATTATGATCATTAAATCAGGGCAACAGAAATGTGGTTCTACAGAAGGCTGCTGAGAATATGTTGGTAATACAAAAGTTTTAAAGGCAATGAGAACAAAGAGAACACGTGAACTTAGAATCAGAAAGGTTCGGTTGAAATTTAATAAAATTATAATGAAGAAAATTATTTGTAGAAAATTTGACACTCAAAGGACATACTGAATACAAGAGTGAAACCGTTGAATGACCAACCTAACGAGCTTGTGTAAATGGATAGCAAAGTATGAAGCGTGTGATAGGATGTTGTGGAGAGCTATGATCAACAACGTCCTGAAGTGACACCGGCGCATAAAGGAAGAGATCTACGTAAGAAGAAAAAGGAAATAAGAGAGAAAGAAAAAAGAAAGTTAAAAGAAAAAGTAAATAATGGAAGAGAGAGAAAATAAAAAAAGAGAAAAAAAGCAAAGAAAATAGAAAAGAAAGAACTAAATATAAAGAGAGGGGAAAACAACAAAAGAGAGAGAGAGAAAAGTAAAAAAAATAGAAAAAGAATGGAAAAAAAAGAAAAGATAAAAGCGACAAAAGGAAAAGAATAAAGAACGAAACAAAACATTAACAGAGAAGGAAAAAAAAAGAAAAAGATTTGTTGCTGGTTTGTTTTGTTTAGCGGCATATCAACACCTCTATGGGTAATTTAATGTCGAAATCTAAATATTGTGAACACAATTTTTTGGCTTCAGCAAAATATATTTTGAACGCAGGTATATGCATGCGACTAAATTTTATATATAAAAATGTACTGCTGGTATTTTTACTATAAAACATACAATGTACAGTTCGAACAATGTAAATAATGTAAATAATTATATCTTTCATCTCAGAAATATAAACAGATGTTTTATCTTTGTTTGGGGTTGATATAATGGAATATGCGTACACCTGTGTCCCCCCTCACTGGAATATGATTGGCTGGTGTCCGTCATAAATACAGACGGTACAGAGTCAAGAGTCGTCATAAATACAGAGGTACGACAGAGTCAAGAGCCTTAGTCTGAGAGCTAAGTCTATAACGACGCCCATTGGACTACGCCATTGATCTACAATTCTTACCTGCGATTACGACGCGTACCAGTCGATTACTGCTACCGTATTCTACTTGGTTATAGTAGCCAAAATCACTTAGCTACTTCGTTCAAATATATCCCTTTCCAGGACATACCAGAGGTTCACTGTTTGCGAATAGCTGGGACTCTAACAGATGCTACCATCCCGGGTCAGAATGGACTTGGGAATAACAGCAATTAAGAGGCCATTCCAGGCTCCTTACAACCGCCAAACTTCTAATTAGAGGCCTTGCTGCCGGATGTAGTTTATCGTCATACCGAGGACTAGAAAGAAAAAGAAAAGAACAAGAGAGAGAATAAAAAAGAATAAGAACAGAAAAGAAAAAGAAAATATTAACAGAAACGAAAAGTAAAGAAATAGAAAAGAAAAAAGGTAGAGAGAAAGAAAAGAAAAAAAAGGTAAAGAGAGAGAGAAAAGAAAAAGAAATAAAGAATCAACAGGGCTAGTTTTATATAACTATTATGTTTATAAACATGTAATATGTGGGAGTGTTGCGTGTGTGCAGATCGTCCAGTAACGTACCCTAAAATCAACATTAATGCATAGATATATTCAGCAGCTTACTTAAATTTCAAAATATAAAATTACATTTATTAAATTTCAATAAACGGGCAAACATTTAATTACCGCACAGCATGAGTCGACACTTTTAAAACGTATGTAACATCTCGCTTGCCTGATCATCCCGGCCGGAAGCAGAAGTTAGTGAACAACTGAAAACGAGGATGACTTAGTTGTCTTCGTCGGCCCACAATGGCCGCTTAACGGAGCGGAAAGGTATACTGGTTCAGACGGCCCTCGTGCAAGGCAAACAGAGCGAATCTGAAGACATCAACCCCAGCTGGAATCAAGAGAGACGACCTTGTTGAACTCATTTTTAAGTCGGCCGCATTTCTACCGTTTCTTAGATTCCAGGCTTCAACAAACAAACCAATTTCTCCTCTCTCTTCTCTCTCTCTATATATATATATATATATATATATATATATATATATATATATATATATATATACACACACACACACAGAAAGAGAGAGAGAAGAAGACAAAAAAAAAAAACTGTCGAGCAGAATTTTATTCTCAACGCTAAGCAAAGTATTGGGTAACAGAAAAATTCGTTAGCAATAAAAAAGAGTGTTGGATATCTATGTGATGTCCACCCTTTATATATGGCAATGAGTTTTGAACAATCTTCTTTCCAAGCATGAAGAGAAAATTGGAGGTAGAAGAAATGTAGTTCTACAGAAGGATACCGAGAATTCCATGAACAGAGTGAGCATTGATTAATTGGTTTGTTTTCGTTTTTTACGGCTTAGAAAGCTTTTGCTGGTTATTTTAAAGGCATAACACTTTTTAGACTGTGAGAATTTAGTGGTGGGCATAAAAATGATTTACTACTAATTAACCTATAGCTAGAGGGAAAAACTGATGCACTAAATAAAGTGTTCGTTTCAAAATTCTAAGGTATAACCTGAAGAAGCCCGGAGCGCACAACGCCCGAAACGTCGTGAATATAAAAATAAAGACTTATATATATATATATATATATGAACCTAACCGTAACCCTAAACACCGCTCTTCATTAATGAATTGAGCACTCTGATTATAGATTTTTTGTATAATTCATATATAATAAAATGTAAAACTTACGTTCGCCGATAGCTTAGGAGTAAGATCTCCGACAGATGACAAATCGATTGGGTCTCGATCCCGACTTGAAGTAATTTTGATGTCTAGTCACATTATGATAAGCTGTGATACAACAGAGCAGAAATAAAATCGTATGTGATGACTATATATATATATATATATATATATATATATATATATATATATATATATACTACATTTCTTTTTATGAACTTATTATCCTAATTTTATTAGCTATACAGATATATATATATTCTTGATTGAATTTTTCGTTTTGTACGGCTTATCAATATTTTGCATGTTATTTAAAGCCAGAAAATATTTTTAGATTCTAAGAAAGTTTGTGAGGGAGTCATAAGGATTTAGTAAGTCCTACAATTTAACCCATAGTTGGAAGAAAAAAAGATGGATTCCTACCTTCCCAAATGTAAGTAAAAAATTATAATTCATCAATTTATCCTTCGATGTAAAAGTTAATTATACTTGCATCAAACATTTGTTTTAAATATTATAGTAATATAGATATAACAAAAATCCTTAACAAATATTTACAGAAATCAAATATATATAATATTTTTTGTTTAATCAAGGCAAGAAAGCTGCTAAGACGCAAAGAATTGCTGCATTTTAGAGAATATAAGAAAAAATATAGTATTTTGCAGAGAAGGCGATAAAAGGACAAAAATTAAGAAGACAGGAGATAACGATTGACATTGCATTTAAATTTTTGAAGACCAATGTTCACTGAGAAACAAGAAGCCGGAAGATTTTTCACGGGAAGCTACATTATAGCGGTAGGAAAATGACTGAGGCCGAGCGCCAGGTCAGGGCCGATAACATTGCAGATTCTTCTTTGGATTTTATCAAGAATCTCTAAATATACAACAGGAGGACCAAACTAGATGTGGCAACAATATTCCAAGCGAGGATGAAAGGTAGACTTATAAATATGTAAGATAGAATCTGTCAAGAAAAATTGTCTAGGTTGACACAGTGAACCAAATTTCTCAGCTGCAGACTTAGCAATTCATTCAATGTACTCTTTCCCGTTGAAAAGGTTAGTCTGATAAGTCATTCTCCTGGAAGTTAGTATCATCCATGTTGATGGAAGGTAAAAAAAAAAAGGTTCTCTAACATGATTAAAAAAACTTAAAGAAAAATAATGCATAAAAATTATCTAGTAAATATAACCGAACGATTTCGAATTAGGTTACATTAAACAATATCTTCTTTAAGAAGAAAAGTAACAAATTTAAAATTGGTTTATATATAAAAAAAAAAGAACTAACATCTTTTTAGAAATAATTAAGTAACGTATTTAAAAAAATATATGACACATTCAATTTTCTTATCAAACCTTCTGTCTAGTAAATACAATCTACCTGAAACTCAAAGGATAGATAGATAGATAGATAGATAGATAGATAGATTGGTTTGGTGTATTTTGATTTGTTTTATGGCATATCAATCTCAATGGGTTATTTAATGCCAACAAATATTTTATTGCTGGTAATATTTTTTTCAAAAATGTATGTCTGGTAATAATGTATTGCTGGTAATAATTTTTTCCTTCAAAAATTTATTGCTGGTAATATTTTTTTTTTTTACAAAAACAGCATTTCTGGTATTAAAACGTATTTTTACACTTTCATAGTGTTTTGACCCCAGTTTGAGGGTTAAGTATTTGTCCATATTTGGGGCCCTAACATATGCTACTGCCCCGGGTCAGGGTGGACCTGGGAACACCAACAATTACGAGGTGGTTCCAATCTCCTCAAAAGCTCCTGATCAGAGTCCTTCCTGCCGGACGTTTTTCATCGTCTTACCCAGGACGCAGGTGTAATTTATCTTCATACCGAAGACGGTATTATATTATATAAAACGCTTTAAAATTACGACGTCTTCTATATTAATTTTCAGCTGACATAAAGTTATGTTTTTCTTTTTGCTGAATGACATAGTCGTGCGTTTTGAATCAACGCGGTTGGTTCAAACCACTTGAATACATTCTCGGACTTAAATCCTGACCCTGTCAAACATTTTGCATTTTTCTTCGTTGAGGAACATTTTTGTGTTATCGGATTAATGATGGAGTCTAAGATGCTGTTTCTCGTTTTGACGACGATAAAAATGTCTGCCAGCCGGCAAGTTTATCACAACTGATGATATCTGTCAATGTTATATGGAAAATCAAAATAAACTTACTATATCAAATTTTTATTTTATTTTTGTTGTAAGTCAAGCAAGTTGTATCTTATATATAAAGTACAGTGTATGTGTGTGTGTGTGTGTGTTTGTGCGTGTGTGTATCCAAGCAAATCCTCCGCTCTCACTGGTCCGAATTCAATGATTTATAGCTCATTCAAAAGCTTTAGAAAAGTTTCGCACAGGGAACAATTTTCATTGAGCTCAGATTCAAGATTGCCAGATTATGCGAGGTTAAATATATATATTAATATATTATACTAGCCATTATTGTTTCTTTCATGTTTCAAGGGAAGTAACTCTTATTTTACTTTTTTTATCCAAAACTGCGGCTAGCTGAAAATTTTAAGCTAGCTTAAAAGCCGCCCCGTCCTGTGGAGGACTCTTGGTTTATCTAATTTGCATATTGATTTTTATAAAAGTGTATTTCATTAATTAACTGTCCTTCATTACTGTTCTTTTATTCGAGGATGGTTTGGTTTTCATATCAAAAATAGTTCTGTTTAGGAATACCGTCATATAGTGAAAAATGCTTTGAAATTTGCATTTTACTTGGCATTCAACAAGTTGGCATCTATTTGTAAAACTTTCCTTAAAAGGCCAATTTATGAATGAAATGTTCGTTTAAAATTTTTGTTTCAAGGATTTTAAATAGTGAATATATCTTAATTGTGAAACGATAGCGAGCGGGCGAAACCTGCGAGTCATACTTAGTATAAAACCCAGGTTGTGTGTGTGTGTCTGTTCGTTTATATATTGGATCGGATTTCCTACATTTTTCAACCGATTTCAACAAAACTTCACAGGACTACGTAAAATTACCTTGCGGTACTTCTGACAGCGAAAAAATGAAAAAAAAAACAATTGTTTTTGCACGAAATCAATTTGAAAACACGATTAAGAGGCATCACTGTGGCCAGAATGAAAGTGGGGCAACTCATATCGAGTTATACTTATTATAAAACCCAGGTTGTATGTGTGTGTGTGTGTGTGTATGTGTGTGTGTGTGTGTGTGTGTGTGTGTGTGTGTGTTCGTTTATATATGGGATCGGATTTCCTACATTTTTCAACCGATTTCAACAAAACTTCACTTTTTTTTTAGCAGGTAGTGTTTCTTATTGTCTTGCACACTTTTTTCTTTATTTTTACATTCAGAATGCTTTAAAAATTCCATTTACAAGACAATTGTTTATAATAAAATTCTATTCAATTGGTAGACTCATAACGATTGAAAGCAATGTTTTTGTTTGAGTTTGGATTTGACCAATTCGTAAAAAAAAAAAAAAAAAAAACTATTTACGACATTCGTGTCCGTCAACCTTAAACAATAATCTTTGTCAATTTTATTTTTCAGTCTTTATGATGGTCGATACTTGATCTTACTGTTACATCCCCGAGCAACGCCGGGCTCCCCTGCTAGTATCTTATATGAGAATAGCGTAACGGATATCGACACAGAAAGTTAAATCGGCGAGACGAGTTAAAAGTCTGCTTTATTTCTTTGCGTTTACTTTTGAACAGTAATAATTAAAGTAGGTATTGGCTGGTGGCTCGTTTCTGAATAAGTCCGTCCGTTTAGGACGACGCCTGTTCAAGGACATTCGTGTTTCTTCAACACGCAAATAGCCAACCTCTGGTTATAGTGCAACTAAGTTGAGCGGGTTTTGGTTACAGCCTCTGGGAGATAACCCATAACCTGTCGTTGAATGAGGCTCAAATCCTCGGCACAATGATCAACGGCTTCCAAACTGTTTCATCTTCGAGATTTCATTCACAAGCCAGGGTCAATCTGTGGTATGATTTTCAGTGACTTCCCAATGATCCTTAGACTGAAATTATAAAGTTATTTCCTTGATAAATCAACTATTTTCGAACTTTAACCCTGCCCCTGTCAGACATTTGCAGTTTTTTTCTTTTAATTAAATGAATAAATACAACAAAAAAAAATTATCGGATTTTTTAGATATCTCGCGTTGCTTTATGGAGACGGTGTTTATAATGTTCGTATCAAAGTATACAAGCGCTTTCATCCGTCATTGGGTCTGTCTCTAGTTATACTCGTTGTAAGTGGGGAGGTTGAAGAGAAACGGCAGCGTGTTTCATCCAAACTGGTTGCGATTTCTTGTCGCCATGTCTTGGGTTTGGGTGCAAAAGTGGGTGGATGGTTGGCTTGTACTAAGAATATGATTGCACTTGGAACGAGTCAGGATGCCAAAAGGCAAAGAGTGATCGGTAAGGAAGAGACGATGAAAGGTAAGACATATGTAGAAAGAAGAAACGGAATATAAGAAAAGGTGGTGGAACAGAGTCATAGCAGAAAGACAAATAAAAGAAAGAGGGAAAGCAAAGAAAAAGAAAGTGAGAAAAGATAATATGAAAAAGAGAGAAAATAAAAAGAGAAAGTAAAAAGGAGGGAGAAATGACAAAAAATAGAGAGAAAGAAAAGATAGAGGAAAAAGAAAAAAGAAAAAGCAAGAAGATGATAAAAGGAAAAGAAAAGGAAGAAAAGAAAAAGAGAGAGAAATATTTCAATGAGTAAATAAGACTAGATGAAAAGAGAAAAATGACACATTTAAATCGCGAAAAAGGGGAAACGAGAAAATATTCAAAATTAGATGAATTAGATAAATTAATAAAAGAAGAAAAAAATAAAACAATGAAAATAAAAATAAAAGAAAGTCTCTAAAGTTTTTCAAAAATATCATGAAAAAAATAAAATATAAAAAGAAGGAAGTAAAAAGATAACGAAAGAAAAAGAAAGAAAGAAAGGTTATTAAAGAAGGAAAGAAAGAAAGAAGAAAGTAAAAAATTTTAATATCGAAAAGAAAGAATAAAGAAATTAAAGAAAAGAAAAAAGAAAGAAGATAGTAAAAAAGATAACGAAAGAAAAAAAAATGTATATCTAAAAGGTCATTAGAAAAGGAGAGAAAGAAAGAAGGGGTATAAAAAGATAACGAAAGAAAAACAAAATGTTTTAAAGGTTATCTAAATTAAGGAAAGAAAGAAAGAAGAAATTAAAAAGATAACAAAAGAAAACGAAAGAAAAAGTCATTAAAAAAGAAAGAAAGAAAGAAGAAAGTTAAAAGATAACGAAAGAAAAAGAAAGAAAGGTCATTAAAGAAGGAAAGAAAGATGGAAGTAAAAAGAAAACGAAAAAAAAAGAAAGAAAGATCATTAAAGAATGAAAAAAAGAAAGAAGAAAATAAAAACATAACGAAAGAAAAAGAAAGGTCATTAAAGAAGGAAAAAAAGAAAGAAGGAAGTAAAAAGATAACGAAAGAAAAAGAAAGATAGGTCATTAAAGAAGGAAAGAAAAAAAAGAAAGAAAGTAAAAAAAAAAAAATCCCTTAACGAAAGAAGGAAAAGGAAAGTAAATAAGACCGGGAAATAAAGCATGGAAAGAAAAAAAGAAAGAAAGAAAGAGAGAAAGTGAAAAAGATTATGAAAGATAAAAAGAAAGAAAATATAATAGTTAAATAAAGAAATAAAAATGTTAGAGAGAAAAGGCTTAAAAAGATCATGAAAGAAAGAAAGGTTATAAAAAAGAAAGAAATGTCATTACAGAAGGAAAAAGAAAAACGAAAGAAAAAGATGTAACTAACGAAAGAAGTAAAAAAAAATCATAAAAGAAAGAAAGAAAATAGAAGCGACCATAAAAGAAAGAAAGAAAGAATGAAAGAAGGAAAGAAAGAGAGGAAATGGAATTGCTTATAAAAGAAAGAAAATGGAAATAAATCATGAAAGAAAGAGATAAAAAAAATAGAAGTGACCAAAAAAAAAAAGTCCAAACAAATCATAAGAGAAAGAAAGGTGAAATGAAACGAAAAAGAAGATATTTTAATGACAAAGAAGAAAATGGTGAATGGCCTATGGCTCAGTGGATAAAGACGTTGTTTAGATCCCGTGACAAGACCCAAACAGTCGTGTGTTCAATACAGAACCAAAACTTGTTGAGTTAACCCCCCACTGACACAAGTTCATTTTTTAACGTGGGGACTAACTTGAAGTGTTGAGTTAAAGAGAAAGAACTGAGACATTAAAAATTTCAATAAAATTGCTCGAGGGAATAAATAGATTTGCTTGACAATTATAAAATACTGATTTAATGAATATTGTTGTCAATTAAGGTCAATTTTTAAAATTGGGGACTTCAATTCTTTTTTGTCGGAACAAATATTAGCTGGTCACTGAATGTCTATTTTGGTTATTATCTGGTCCAAGCTAAATCAAAGCTGAACTTTACTGGTCATATGTTTTATTCCTAAGCTGGTCAAAATTGTTTAAAAGCTTTCCAAATCATTTGATATTACCAGAACAGGGACGGATCCAATATGTATTTTAAAAAAAATGTAAAATTTTCCTCTAGATAGTGGAGTTATTTTTAATTTTTACCAAACTAAGTCAATTATGACACAAGGTTCACAACTTGGAAATTTTGAGTTACGGAGAAAGAACTGGCGCATCCAGAAGAGGCAAGGGACGTGGAACTAGAACAATCTATCGCAGTGGACGAAATAAAGAGTTCAGTTCAAAATTCCAAGCACCTGAAGAAGGCCGGACCGTACAACGGCCGAAACGTGTGAATATGGCAACTGAAGATGAGAATCACAATCAGAATAGTATAAATAACGTAAGTAATCATAATACCTCATCTCTGAGATATAGACAGATATTAAAAGAATCCAAGTTAGAAAAAAAGGTAACGGAAGATTCTGTAATTTTGAAAAGGTCGGACAATTGGGTAACTATGAAATAAAAGTCGATTTAGTGCAGTTCTAGAGTGGGGATTTGTGGGCTAAGATCAACCCCTCCCATATATTTTAAATAAGTGAAAATCATAGGGTAAAAGCCTACTACAACAATATCAGGGCCGAACTTTCAGAAGTGAGGCTTTGATGCTAGGCCACCTTCCCCAATATTTTTTTTTTTAAAGTATTATTAACTATGGGTGGGGTCTAAATAAAACACCACTACAGTAATACCAGGGCCGTACTTTCTGGAGGGGCGCTATCACCCTCACATATGCTTAATTAAGTATTAACTAAAAAACATGGAATCCAGACTAGATAAAAACCCACTGCTACAATACCAGGGACATACTTTCTAAGTATTTATTTAATTACTATATTCTGTTGTTTTCAAGCAAATGAAATCGATTTATCTAAGTTAAAGTTAAGTTTTTGTAACTTCATTTCAAATTATTGTTTTAATAAAAAAAAAGTAGTAAATAAATTAACTTTTAGATAGTTTATTTCTTTTTAACAAGCCAAACCTATATAGACTTAAATTTCTATTTCAAAAAAATGGGGGTTTATTTAGAAATTATTTATAAGAAAATTTTCCAGAACAGCCCTAAAATTAATTTTTTAAATCGATTTTTTTCATAGTTACCGAATTTTACTACCTTGTCAAAATTAATTTATTCTGTTAGTTAATTTTTTTTAATTATTTATCATATATATATATATATATATATATATATATATATATATATATATATTATATATATATATATATATTGATGTGTGTATGTATGTATATATCAGGTCATCCCATAAGTTCTGTCCGAATTTTAACTTTTTGTTAAAAATGAACGAAATTTAAAGATTATTTTATAATATCTAATAGAGCTGAGCATTATTTTTATGTTTAGATGCATTTAAACTGATCAAATTTTATTTCAGAGAACAATAAAATTAAATTTTGTTTGATTAAAACCCTGCTAACATGGAAGTACCCAAGAATCATTTGAGGCACATAATGCTTTATGAGTTCAAGAAAGGAAACTCAGCAGCCGAAGCGGCTAGAAACATTCACTCAGTTTATGGAGAGGAATGTGAATGAAAGAACTTGCAGAAGATGGTTTGCAAAATTCAGAGGTGGAGATTTCACCCTTGAAGATGAAGATCGAACCGGACGTCCAGTTGAGTTTGATGAAAAGCTTCTTGAAGCAGCCCTTGAAGAAAATCCTGCTTTATCAGTTGAGGAATTGGCAGTGGTTGTCAGTTCAAACCACACAACTGTTCATTGTCATCTTCAACAACTTGGAAAAGTTCCTAAACTTGGAAAATGGGTGCCTCATGAATTGTCTGAAAACAACCTCAAATCCTGAGTTGACATCTGCTCTTCTCTCCATTCTCGCCAACTTGTTTCACCTTTTTTGGATAGACTTGTGACTGGCGACGAAAAATGGATCTTTTATCGAAATGTTAAGCGTCGTAGACAGTGGCTTGGTAAAGAGAAGGACCCCAGCCACAACCGAGAAGGGAACTTCATGGGCAAAAGGTTCTTCTTTCAATCTGGTGAGATCGCCAAGGAATAATCCACTTTGAATTCTTACCACCTAATGCAACAATTAATGCTCAAATATACTGTCAGCAATTAGAGCGTTTGAACCAAGCTTTGAGGAAAAAAGACCTGCTCTAGTGAATCGAAAAGAGGTGATGTTTCATCAGGACAATGCGCGACCCCACACAGCAAGAATCACGTCACAAAAGATCGAAGAACTTGGTTGGGAGAAAATTCCTCATCCACCTTATTCTCCCGATCTTGCTCCTTCAGACTACCATTTGCTTCGTAGCTTACAGAATCATTTGGAAGAAACAGCTTTTGTAACACAGGAAGAGGTTAAAACTGACATTTGTGAGTTCTTCGAATCAAAGCCAAAAGAATTTTACAGTAATGGAATTAGTAAGCTTGTTAATAGATGGAAGGAAGTCATAGATAATCAGGGAAAATACATTGTTGATTGAATCTGTAATTAAATGTAACATTTGGTCACTTGTTTTCTTTTATTCAAAATTCGGACAAAACTTATGAGATAACCTGATATATATATATATATATATATATATATATATATATATATTCTGAAAATGTATACATATATATATTTATATAAACATAAATATATATATGTATATATATATATATATAAGCATAAATATAAAAATGAACATTGAAGTCAGCACTCAGAGGCAACTGGCTGTATCATGCTAGGCGTAATCATCAGGTGGCCTGACAATTGCGTCTAGCATGAAACAGCCTGTCGCCTCTAAGTGTTGATTTCACTGTTCACTTTTATATTTATGTTTACATACGTTTTGTCTCTGATATTGAGCACTTTATCCCATAAATATAGCACACCTTAAAACTATATTTCTTCATATATGGAGTTGACCGATTAAATAGGGCAATGTCTGATCGTTACCCCATTCTTCCTCAATATTAAGTATGACAGAAAGAAATATAAAAATAAACCCACTCTAAACTCGACCATGTCTCTCACACCACTCCTCGCTACCTTCTCTGTTAAATTACATAAATTTAATACTACCCGTCAAAAGGGTAAATTTTCATTTCATTTTTCATTTCATCTTTTGAAAGTGATGTCTGAAGATCCAGGGTACTTTAAAAAGTCTCTGGTGGAATAAACTATTATAATGGAGCCTTAATGGTCTTTTTTAAGCCTGATATATATATATATATATATATATATATATATATATATATATATATATATATATATATATATAAGCGTTAAGAGGTCATTTTTAAGGACTTTTTTTTTTAATATATATATATATATATATATATATATATATATATATAAGCGTTAAGAGGTAATTTGATAAAAAACGCCTGAGGATACCATAAGTTCGAAACCAAGGAAAGCAGATTCAACTAACCTCCTGATTTTTAAAGTTAAAAGCTCTACATGTTATTTTTACTTTTATTTTATTTTTTACACGTGTATTAGCACTTTTTAGTACTACTGCTTCCTGAACTGATTCAACTCTGACCATTAATGTTTTATATATTATATATATATATATATATATATATACACGCTCTATCTCTGATATTGAGCACTTTATCCCATAAATATAGCACACCTTAATAGTATATTTCTTCATATATATATATATATATATATATATATATATATATATATGAAAGAGAGAGAGAGATAGAGATTACAGAAGCCTCTTGAAAATATAGCGTTCAGATAAACTTCTTTCTTTGCTTAATTCACGTGAGAGGCAAATTATAATAAATGAGCCTTTTGCATTGACATCCGAAGACCTCCACCCTTCTTTTCGCCAGTTCAGCTTCCTTTTGCCGCCAATGAAATCAGCCATTTCCAAACGCGCACTAAGACGCAGTCACCAAAACCCACATTCTAATAAGCCAACCTGACTCAGCAATAAACCTACAGACGCCCACATAAACGTAAACAAATTATACGCTTTTCGATAAACTTTTACCGGTAAAAACACACACCCACTTAAAACATTCCAGAACTTGGGGTCATGGTTCAATGTCTAATCTTGCCTACAATAGTATACTATGTTCAGTTCTCACTAGGTGACACAGATTGATGAATTTATATTAAGCTTCGCTTTGTAAATATTTTGAGGAATAAAGTAGATCACTAAATTAGAATGTATCAAAAGTATTTTCCTTTTTTGGTTCATGGTAAAAGTTTCGTTATTTTGTGTCTGTCTTTGATCTTTATCACTTTAAACGTTATTTTTAGTGGGTAATCGTTTTTGAGTAGAAGTTTCGTTTAGTTATTAAACAGTAGATTTATTCAAAATTTTTAAATTTTAAAACCTTTAAAAAAATTTTAGACCTGTCGGATTAATAAAAAAAAAATATAATTCTAAAAATTCTCTTTGTTTAATTTTGGATACAAAACTGTGATGTTATTTCTCATGTCAAACCTCAACTTTCAAATTGAGTACAATCCAACGGTTCTGTTATCAACCTGCCCCTAACATACACGCCAAAACGGTAAAAAACAACGAAATTCATTTTTATAATCAGTAATTTTAATTATTTTCTCTTTGATTATTTTAAAAAATATATAAATAAAATAATAATAAAAAAGAAAATAAAGCAAACGTTAGTTTCGGAAATTTAGTATTTTTTGACAGTGTAATACTTCGAGAAACATTTTGTTATGTTTTGCACACCTCTCTGCGAAGTAGTAGTCGCAGTACACATCTCCGTGTCCTGAATAGCAACCGGCTTTGCTAGGCATAGCTTCCTCCATGTTCGCCAGTTGTTCTCTATTTATACTTGTCTATCTAATTTGCATACGATACTACACATTTTATGAACAATGTGCATTCTTTACACCAAATGACCACCATTTTCAGCTGTTTTCTCTTCGTGAAATACGTATGCAGACATAACACTGTGTTCGGCTTGTTCTTCCAGCTTTATCTATAAAGACTCCAGGAAATGCTTCATACTACTAAAGAGACCTGGAATTGCCAATTTGTCTTTTAGACTTGAATCCTGAATAAATGATGCCTGTATTATTGGAGAAGAAAATAAAAAAAAAACTTTGTATCATCCATTGATGATATCCGCGCTTTTCTCGAATGAAATATCAATTGATGACGGCCCTCGTTTAAGGATTACTTGCAAAACGAAAAGGCCGATCACTTGAAGATGAAAACTGTCAGAAGAGCTAAAATCCTAAAAAAAAGAACACAGAAGAACTCTTCATAAGTTTCATAGATACCCCGCCACCCGGAAAAAATGAAATTCAGCAAATTATTAGAAACAGTAGAGAAGAATTATTTGTGATGTCGAGTTAAAGATGTAAATTAAGATGCTGTTGCTGGTTTTGACGAGGATAAAAAAAAAAGTATGGCATCCGGCGAGTTGATTATAATTGATATCATCTGTCAGAGTGCTATAAAAAATAAAAAGAAACATGCTATATCGAATTTAACCTTTATTTTTGTTATATGTCAAGTAACAAGTAACAGTGGATAAAGGCGTTGGTTAGATCCAGTGACAGAACCCAAAGAGTGTGAGTTCAATACCCGGTTAAGGCAGTGGAGAACTTTCAGAGGGAAATTAGCAGGTGATAACTGATAACTGACATCCATCAAACATGGCACGTGGAACTAGAACAGTCTACCCCAGTGAGCGAAATAAAGGGTTCAGTTCGACATTCCTACCACCTGAAGAAAGCCGGAGCGTACAACGGCCGAAACGTTATGATAAATATGGCGACAAAGATGAGAACAATAGTCCGAATAATGTAAATAGTGTACATAATAGCTCATCTCAGAAATATAGACAGATACTGAAGAGCCGAAACGTTGTAATAAATATGGCTACAAAGATGAGGACAATAGTACGGATAATGTAAATAGTGTACATAATACCTCATCTCAGAAATATAGAGAGATACTGAAGGGCTGAAACGTTGTAATAAATATGGCGACAAAGATGAGGACAATAGTCCGAATAATGTAAAATAGTGTACATAATACCTTATCTCAGAAATATAGACAGATACAAAAGGCCGAAACGTTGTAATAAATATGGTGACAAAGATAGGACAATAGTCCGAATAATGTAAATAATGTACATAATACCTCATCTCAGAAATATAGACAGATACTGAAGGGCCGAAACGTTGTAATAAATATGGCTACAAAGATGAGGACAATAGTACGGATAATGTAAATAGTGTACATAAAAATTAGTATCTCAGAAATATAGACAGATATTGAAGAGCCGAAACGTTGTAATAAATATGGCGACAAAGATGAGGACAATAGTCCGAATAATGTAAATAGTGTACATATTCATTATCTCAAATACAGACAGATACTGAAAGGCCGAAACGTTGTAATAAATATGGTGACAAAGATGAGGACAATAGTCCGAATAATGTAAATAATGTATCAAGTAACAAGTAAGCTGTATTTTTTTATGTACGGTGAGATGAGTTCAAATACCCACAGTCTTTTTCTATTCACTTTCGTATCAGTCAGTTATTTGATACACGCCTAGGCGATCATGTATCTTTCGATACATGACTGACGAGTCAGATTTTTCCCGCAGTAGGTTGCCATTTCTTTCTGCGGTAGACAAGGTTATAGAACCTAGTCTGTCCTGCTATTTGCCCTTAGCTGGACGGGGAGGGAGAAGAAGAGGATTCATAGCTTTCCCAAGGGTATTAGCACATAAGTGAATGCAATGGATCCGACTGGAATTCGAACTCGGCTCTCCGATCCCTAAATCTGAATCGCTATCCATTACCCCACCGTGCCCACTTTCGTATAGTATTGATTAAAGTAATGATCCGAAGACGGATTAAGATAGCCAAGGACGCACTCCAAAAGCTGGGAAGAGTATTGCGAGACAGGAGGATTTTTTGGTGTCAAAGAAAAGAGTACTGAGCTGCTACGTGACGTCTGTCCTCCTAGACGGCAGCGAATATTGAACGGTATCCTCAAAGATGAAGAAGAAACTCGAGCCAGCGGAGATGTGGTTCTACAGAAGGATGCTAAGGATATCATGGAGCGAGCGTGTGAGTAAAGGTCAGGTTTTAGAGAGGATGCATATTAGGTGGAAGGTTATACTTAACATCAGGAAGAGGCAGATGAAATTTCAGGGACACTTAATGAGAAAGGAAGGCCTGGAAAATCTGATACTCACAGGTCGAATAGAGGGAAACAGAGACAAGGGAAAGCAACGCATAACATACCTGGCGGTCTTAAACAAGTGGATGGCAAAACGTGGTCTGAGGGAGTTGGCAGAGGCATGAAACTTATTGAGAGCCACAAGGGATAGGAGGAAGTGACGAGCCATGATCACCTACGTCCTGAAGGTACACAGGACATAAAAAGAAAGAATACCTGAGTAAGCCCGTCTGCTAGGTTGAGGCCTATTCAGGCACATACGTGTTTCTTCAACACCCACAGGGCCACCCTCTGGTTTATAGTGCTACTAAGCTGAGCGGGCTTCGGTTACAGTTCGTGGGAGATAACACATAACCCGGTGTGATCTGTATTTGAACAAGACTTGAACGTTCAAGCCCTTGGCTCAATCATCGACGGATTTCCCAATCGGTTTGTCTCCCCGATTTCATTTACAAGGTTTGGATCATTCTGTGGTATGGTTTTCAGTGACATTCTAATGATCCCCAGGCTGATATTAGCTAGAAGTCATTTCCTTGACAAATCGACCATAATGAGATTCAAATTCGAGTCTCGGGTCGTAACACTAATGTTCTCACTCATTTTCGTCCAAATACGCTTGAAAAGGGGCTTGAATTCGTTTTTTCCCTCACAACAGCCAAATAATAGGGAGATAATTATATATTTTATTTTCAATATTAAATTGAGGAAGGTTGAAATGAGGCTGAAAATCTGATGGACATTGATTTGTTTTTTTTTTTACGGTTTATAAACCCATTTGCAGAAAATATTTTTAGATAGTAAGAATTTTTTTTTTGTTGAGATAATAATAATTTACTGATACTATTATTACTAATTAACGCAGAGCCGGGGGGAGATAGGAGGTGGATTAATAGCTTTCCCATTGGTATTTACACGTAAGGCAATAACAATTCTTAGCCAATTCTTAGCCATTATCCATTACACTACCCACACAGTACTGACCAGCTTCGATATTGTTTAACTTCCGTGATCGTGCGGTTATTCAACGTGATGTGGCCGTAAGCCTGTATAGAGACAAAACCATCTAATAAACTGTTTTCATTGGCCATTACTGCAAACGCCAGGGTGTACCTTTAATGTTGACCATCTAGCAATAAGAGGATTTGGATCAAAGGTAAGCCCTGATGTCTGCAGCAAAGATCGATGAAAACGATACCCCACTCTAAAATATCACTATGACTCGTGTGCTGTATTGGACTGTCACATATGCAAATAAATAAAAGCAACACTATTTTTGATCACTGATGAAAGGCATGAATCTGTCTATTCCCTCCCTGCAGACTTAGGTGGTAGCCAGCTTAAGAAAAGGATAACACTAGCCGGAAGAGTTTGTCTTGCCCTAGACACACCAACTGCTACTGTAGGTGCAGTAAATGTACAATCCTGATTTATTAACGGGACTCGTGACGAAATTCGAGCACCTTGAATTTGTTAAGCACCTGTTTTCTACTTAGGAAAACTGAGAACTTGAAAGAATCATTATTTACATTAGTTATATTCGACCTATTGCCCTCAATATTGTTATCCCAAAGTCTCGGTCGTTGTGCTGCCCGACCTTCCTACAGGACAAAGGACTAGTCGATAAAACTGATGGTTTGTGAATTTGGTGATATAGTGGCTGTGAGTTCAATCCCTGCGTCGGGATGTGTGTATTCACACTTAGTGGAAAAGGGCAAGCAATATGAAATAGAAAAGAACTGGAGGGTATCCCTCGATATGAGCAGTGGAACAAGAACAATCTGCGCCATAGATTAAATAAAGTGTTCTGTTCAGAATTCCCTGTAGGTTACCCAGATCGATATACACATAAGGAAGGCCGGTGATAGCGATAACAACAACAAAGATGAGGATAATAGTCCGAGTATAAATAGTGTAAAATATGATAACTCCTTGTCCAAGAAAGTCAGAGAGAAATTGAGAGAATCAATTTCTACAAATGCGGGGTGAACTGGTCATTTGAACAGAAGAGGAGGTTTATCCTTTGTTTTCTGTTTAGGATTAGGTTTCCGGTTCCTTCTAAAGTCTTCTCATAGTTTCTCTCTTCCAGTAGCTACTTGCGTCTTAGTGACATTATCGCCTTAGTTGGAGTGAATTGATTTTTAAAAATTGCTAATGGTGAGAATAACCGTTTTCATACAAGAAACATTCGGCATTCATTGACCGAGCATTTAGCGTCAGATTCGGTTGAAATTTATAAAATAAGTTTTCAAGGAAACAGACTTCTCAAGTTCAATATTATTGCTCTTTCTGGTATTGATCAGGGTGTAGAATGCCAACATCTTGACTATGTCATTATTTTCACTGCTAGTTCTCTTCAAAGACGTCTGCAAAAACGACAAGAGGGTGATAAACATGGACATCGATAGGTGGGAAGCCGTCGCCAACGATCACTCACGCTTGCAGACGCGACTTACACCGAAGGCTGGTGCTAGGATAGGAGAAACGAAGATTTGCCGCCGGGGAGAAACGTGCTCGACGGAAAGAAAACAACAGGGAAACATCGGGGGATAGCGTATTCACATGCATTCGTTGCAATCGAGACAGTCACTCCCGTGTCGGTCTATAGAGCTATAACAGATGCTGCACCGCTATCAACAGTTGTGGCATAACTCTTTGGGCACAGATCCAAGGTCTATCGAGATCGATGTATATCACATACATATAGTTCTTTTGGGTTATCTATTTTAGTTGTTGCTGCTGTTGAAAGCCTTTAAATAATATTTTATTTTCGCTATTTGGTAAAGTTCTTTCTTTGCGATTGTGTAGCGCTACTCTATGGAATCGAATGAAGGATAATCAAAGAAATTACTCATATAATGTGGAAGAACGGTTTGGAAAGCTTGATCCTCACAGGGCATAACGCAGCCAAGAGAGATAGAGGAAAGCAGCTAGCCACTTATCTGACGAGTTTGTGTGAATGGATAGCGGAAATTGGAAGAAAAACTGTTAAGGGCTACAAATGATAGGATGTTGGAAAGAGCCATGACCGCCTATGCTTTGAAGGGACGCGACATATGGAAGGAGATATAAAAAAAAAAAAGCTTTTGGAAGATGCGTTTTTTCTCTACGAAGCATCAGAAATGGCGTACACAAGAAGCTTCCAGTTATAGAAAATTAGTGGCTGTATGATGTCTTTTGCTCCATAACAAAAATAGTTATGTTTTTGATTTTTGTGGCAGTCGTTGTGAGAGGGTGAGACTGGGGAAAAATGGAACTCAACGACATTTCCCTAAGAAAATATTTCCTTGTTTTGTTTTCTTTATGATTTTTGCTTACTGTCTTTCTTTTGTGGTGCAAACGAAACCCACAAAGAAGAATGCTAGAAACTTCTAAGACTTTTCAAAGGAACTTTGATGAATCGCTAAGAGTCACGAATGTCGGCAGCATTAAACTTCTTCCCTGCAGCAACTCGTGGAAAGTAATTTATTTTTATTATGACGAGCTACAAAAAGACAAGGAAGGCTTTATAATATGTGGATTCTATTTGGGGGCGTTTTGGTTTTTTTTTTTTAATTTTAAAACATTATTTTTTTTAATACTTTTTTCATTATTTTACAATCTTGGCTCTGAACTGCTTGAATAGTGATTTATTTTATGTTGTTTATTATCTTAACCCTTTTCTTTAACCGATTTTTATTCCTGTCTTTACTTCCGTTTTTTTTTTTTTCGTTGTCCTCGTCTTTTGCTTTCTTTTTCTTTCGTTCATTTTCAGTTTTCTTTTCTTATTTATTTCTTTGCTTTGTAACTTTTCTTCTGTTGGGTTTTCTTTTTCTTTTCTTCTTGTTTTATTCGGTCGAGCTATCTCGGACATTCATGAGTCTGTCACGCCAACCATCACGGCCCTTCATCAAGATCGGGATGTCATCAGGGTGGCATTTGGTGTCATAACACAGCTGGTCAAAGTAGGTGGTTGCTGGGCGACCAACTCGTCTTGTTCCATATCTTCATTTCTTTTTTTTTCGGTTTTCCTTCTTTTTAATGTTTATATCGTTCGTCTTATTTTCATTTATTTTCTTTCTCGTTTCTTTTCTTTTTTTGATGTTTTATTTCTCTCTCTCTCTCTCTCTCCCCTCTCTCTCTCTCTCTTTCTCTCCCTTCCCTCTCTTCCCTTCTCAAACTCTCTCTTTCTCTCTCTCTCCTCCCCTCTCCTCCCTCCCTCCTCCTCTCCCTCCTCAAAAACTCTCTCTCCTCTCCCTCTCTTCTCTTTTCTTTCACTTTTAACGTTTCTAGTTTTCTTGATTTTTTCGTTTTTCTTTGTCGCTATAAAATTCTTTCTTTCTATTTGTATTTCTTTTTTCGTTTTTATTTTATTTCTCTATTTCAAAGTTTTTTTTTCTTTCCATTCTTCTTTTGTTTGTTTTCGTCTTTCGTTTCGTCCTTTGTTTTTTATTCATTTGGTCTTTCTGTCTTTGCTTTTTCTTCTCTCGTTTTTCTTTCGTAATTTGTTGTGTTTCTTTCATCTTTTTTTTTTTTTCTTTTTCTTCTATCTTTTCACTTCCCCTTTTTCGTCTCCATTTTTTTTTTGTCATGTCTTGCTTTCGTTTTTCTTTCATCACTTTTTTTCGTCATTTTTCTCTTATTTTAGTTTTGCTTTGCCTTTTCCTTTTTTTTCTTTCTTTTATTGTGCTTTTGTCTTTCGTTTGAATTATTCGTTCGTGTTTTAGTCTTTCTTTTTTTAAGCATTTTACCCCAAGCAAGGAGGGAAACCACTAGAACGCACGGGGTTGCAGACAGTTGGAGCGAGATCAAAGAGTGGTAATAGAGGAAAGGATGAAGAGAAGGTTAGGAGATAGATCAGGGCATCTGGAGATGTCGATTGACGTTATATTTGAATAGTTGGAGATTATAGCTATCAGGAAAACAAGAAATGGGGAAGGAGTTCCACAGGTGAGAAGTGCGAGACGTGAACCTATTGGAGTAGAAGAGACGGCTACATTTAACAGTTTCGATAGTGAAAGGGTGAACACTTAAATTCATGAAGTCTGGGAACCAGCGAAAGCAGCTCATCGGAGCAGTTACCATGAAAGTATTTGTAAAAAAAAGACAGAGAGGGGCGATGGCACGTCTGTGAGAGAGCGACTGCAGACGAGATGCCAGCTCAGGGCCAAATACATTGCATATCCGTCTCTGGATTTTATCAAGGACCTTGAGACAAACAGAAGGGGATCCAGACTATATATGGCAGCAATACTCAATGCAAGGTCGAATGGTTGATTTGTAAATTTGAAGGATCGACTCCAGTGAGACTCTTTTGTATTTTTTCTTTTTTTCTTTTTTCTTCTCCCGTTTTTTTTTTTTTTTTTCATTTTTCTTGTTTCTTTTCTTCTTCTTTCTTTATTTTATTTCATTGTTTTCTTCTTCATTTTTGACTACTTCTTTAATTTCGATTTCCTTTCCAATCAAATTCTCTCGTCGGCTTCATTGCTTCCAACCCAATATTCATTGCCCTGACCAAGAAAAGATAGTTACATAGTCATCGGCTGACTTATGACTGAAATAGTCACATATCTTACGAATTAGAGACAACAGAATTTGTAATGAGTGAAGTTGTTGTGGGCTCACCAGTTTGTAACGGAAGGAGTTACGACTTGATGCCGATGAGTAAGAAATCTTTCAGAATAAAGGAATTCAACATTTTCGAAAGAAATGAATTTCAACATGTTCAAGAGGAATGAGTTCAACACCTGCAGGGTTTTTATACACATATATTTTATGTAAAGAACAATGGTTTTTATACATATATATTTTATGTAAAGAACAATGGTTTTTATACATATATATTTTATGTAAAGAACAATGGTTTTTATACATATATATTTTATATAAAGAACAACATAACTCACAAAAGAAGGAGAAAATTATATTTACGTATATCATTATTGTTCAAAACAAGGAAAATAATTATGTAATTAGCCATAGTGTGTGCTTCATTTTTCCCGATATGTAAAGAACAACATACCTTACAAAAGAAGAGAAATCCGTATTGTGTGCATGCGTCTGTGATGTCGATGTCCACATGGTTTATTTAAAATTAAGTGGTCAGCTTGCCGAAGGAAATGCAGCTTTCAAATAAATGAATTTCAAAACGTGGAGAATTTTTGTACATGTATGTTTACACGTGGATTTTTTTTTGGGAACCGACTCCCAGGTAGATGCTCCCCCGATCGCTATAATCTTAACCTGTTCAAGTCTAGGGTTAATAGTTATCTTTCCCACATAACTCTGTAACCCTTAGTTAGATAGCCCACCATAATGGCTAAGAAAAAAGTTGTATAAAACAAGAAAATCAAATTGTAAAGTGAAACAACAAATTTATATACATATAAAAATCAATTAAGGTCTTTACAAATAAAATTAATGTATTTTGGTTGATACAAGGTCGTCAAAATATTCGTAGTAGTCCTTGCAAGAATTAGTTTATATGTACGTAGGCAAGAAGGTACGTGTGAATGAGTGTATGTATGTATGTATGAGCGTTATCGAAGAGTAGGAATGTCTTTGAAGTAATCGCTCAGTCTTAAAATGTTCCGTTTGTTTATCAAGTATAAAAGAAGTGAGGGAGAAAGATAGAGATAATAATAACGACCGTTTGACGTTTTTCAAGGGACGTGTTAATACGCTCGTCTCCATCTCTCTGGTGGCAGGTGAACTTGCCCGTCTTTTATTTTGTTTGTGGGGCTTGCAAAGGTCATTTGGGAATTCACTTCCAGATATGATTCAGGCCTTTGCATTGGACGACGAACAAACTTCGCGTCGGCTCGCGAAAAGGTCCATAAAAGAATTTGTTTCTGAGAATTGAAGATTATTTGAATTTTGTTTTTAAATGTTTCCTAGTTTTCTATTGGCCGAAAAAACATTTCGCAAAGGTGTGAAATTTCACGAGTTTTGTTTTGATTCGCTTTTGCGTGTGTTTAAGCAAAGTTTGTAAATTCGAGTCTTTTTAATTTCTAACAAAATCAATGAGTCAGTGCTTAGCATTTGAATTTTAAATCTAGATCTTGTTTTCTTCATTACACGTTTTTAATTTTTAATTTTGAAATTTGAATGTCTGTATTATTTTGAATGCATTTAATTTTTAAATATTTCGTAAATACAAATATATACTATGATAATTTTTTATATAAAAATTATTCGATAATGAGTTTGTGAATATGTTTACTTTGTTTTTGTCCTTTGTTTTTTAGTTTTAGAGAGACAAATCAATTTATATATATATATATATATATATATATATATATATATATAATATATATATTATATTATTATTGTTGACTAAAAGAATTTTCAGTAGTAAAAATATGTTGGATTAAAGTAAAAGTCATAATTTCTTTAGAAATGAACTTTCAAAATCTGGACGAGGAAAAGTATGTATTTAATTGCAAAAAATAACATCACTTAATAACGAGGGGCTTCGTGATTTGATTTTACACATCAATCTTAATGACGTGTATTCAAATATGGGTATCCAGTTTTTATTAACGTTTAAAGTAATAAAAATATATCGGATTCAACAAGTAAAAATCCGTTAGTTCTTTATAAATTGCTTTGTTTACGTTAAGGATATATAACGGAGTGGTTATGATCTTTTTTTCTGACAAAAAAATGAACGTAAAAGGAAAAATTAAATTTCAATTAATCAAAGCTCGATTCGCAAATATAAATTTTTAAAGCACGTCGGATCTAATGATTTTTTTCCCTGCAAAGGAGGAATGGTTTGAATCAAAAGGATTGGCGCATTTTTTTCAAGAAGATTTGAACGTTCAGGCCGGTAGACAAAAATAAATAATTGTTAAAAATATAGACGAACGTCTACTCAAATATGGGTATCCACTAAAAATAGCGTTTCATAGTAATAAGAATGTAAAATATTGGAACTAATTAATTGATAAATATATTTTTGTTCAAGAATCATTTGTTTCATTTTAAAGAATTTCTTTTATTTCATCCGCGTCTCATATCTTGTTTATTGAAATCATTTTTAAGACCGGTCTACAAAGTTTAAGTTAACATTTGTTTGTCCGCTGACTAAGTGTCAAATCTGGACGAGAAAACTTTTTTTTCTTGCTGTGTCCAAACGCAAGGATGGATTGTCACATGTAAACAATGCACGATGCCCTCCTAAAAAAAAACGTAATTATCAACAAAACAATGAATTACGGCCAAAAATTTTTTTTGTTTGTTTTAGTTTTTTTAATAATCAACCCATTCAATTAAAAAATAATAAGAAAGAAAAGGTTTTTATTTTTTTCAACTCAAACTTTGACAACGAGAAAAAATTACATAATTTTAAAAATCTGTAGAGCCGATAATTGTTTTTGTTTTTATCTGATCTTTTTTTGACTGTTTTTATCTTAGGTAAAGGAGATTAATCCGAATAGAATAAGTTTTGAAGCTGGTTTTTCAGATACCTGCCTAGATTCATTAAATTAGTAAGAATTTAAATAAAATTGGATAAATGCAATCCATTTACATTGATATAGCTTAATCGAAATGTTTTTCATAATGAATGCCAGTTACAAGAGAAAAATATAAAACGAATAGTTTTTTATAAAATTTGTTTAATATTTAAACCTATTTGTCCAAAAGATGCCTGAGACTCATTTTAAAAGTTCAGTTAAAGAAAAAAATTATTTAAAGAGATTTTTTGTTTTTTTTTTTAAAAATAATCAAATTTTGACAAATTTTAATTTTTAATTCCCGGTAAAATTGACTCACCAGATTTTTTTTTGATAAATATTTTTTTTGTTATTATGAGGAGCAGGTAAGTGTAAAAAAAATAACAACATTCTTTTAACATTTGAAGTTTATTTTATTATCCCCATCAAGACAATTTAAAAAATTTTTCCACCATCAATTTTTAAAACACAAGTTAAAATGGAAAATTCATCATCAATTATTAAAAAACATGTCGAAGTTTAAAATATTTTTTAAACACTTCGGGTATAACTTCCTCTCTAAAATCCCAAACTAAAAAAAACGGTCATGGTTATTTTGAAATCATACGATTTTTTAATTTGATAAAAAAGAACATTATTACCGACCATATAAATATGGGTTGGTACCGGAAGACAAAGAATAGTAGGATAGTAAAAAAGAGATCGAATTCTAGAGACTCTGCCCGACTGCGATTTAGTCAACCCATTATGAGATAAAGTCTTCCCAAGAATATAAAAAACTAACTGTAAATATTGTGTAAAACTTTTTTTTGTTTCAATACATTTGGTTTACGTACATTTTCAAAGTTTTATTATTATTATTCCATGCTTATCCAAATTTCAACAGTTATCATGCCAATATTTTTCAAAAGCGACACTTAGACAAGAGTCACAGAATCACAGAATCCACAGAATCTGCCTTTCATAGATCACAAAAACCAACGATCTTAAATACAATATAGTTTTACTTTTAAAACATTATTTATATTTACCCGCATAATACTCATTGGGGTTTATTCTACCAGGACCGGCCAAGTAGTTTATTTTTTGTTCTTTTTTATTTTGAGAAAGATGTAAAAAGTGGATTTTTAAAAAAATCTGTTGTTTAGCTTTTATATTTAATACGAACTTTGTTGTAAAATCTAGAATGCATATTTATAATTTTTTTTTTTATTCATTTTATCACTAATAGATAGGAAGGTGTAGATGCGATTAATTTTTTAATTTTT